AGATTGGAATGTACAAGCAAGACCTGGAATCCGAATTTTCTGACAGATTTCAAGATCTCCAGTGATTTGGCCCAATGTTTTCTTTTCTAATTAAACCAGAAAACTTCAATGAAAGTGACTTGGATTTGTCTGTATTTCAGTGGATGGGTGTTGAAGATCTTGAAATGCAGCTCATTGAATTAAGAAGCTCAGACTTGTGGGCATCAAAGTTTAGAGATCTGTGGAGTGCACTTGAAGCTACTGAGAGGGATCATGGGGCCTCTATTCTGACCTGCGGGACATCCCTGCCAGTGAAATTTAACAGTTTGAAGAAAATTGTTTTGGCAGTGCTTTCAGCATTTGGATCCACATACCTGTGTGTACAAGTATTTTCACATATGAAGGTAGTCCTCTGTCCCTCTTGGAGCCAGTTAACAACCAGTCACTCAGAAGCCTGTGTGCAGTTTAAAGTATCCAAATACAAGCCGGACATTGGAAAACTCAGCAAGGAAAAGCAAGGGTAAGGATCACACTAAACTGGTAGGATCTGCATTTTAATTTAATTTTAAATGAAGCTTCTTAAGCATTTTAAAAACCTTATTTACTTTACATACAACAATAGTTTAATTATATATAGGGGGAGACATTATAACACTAATATGCAGTGTGTCCTGGTATGTACTCCTCTGCCCTCGTTTTGTTTTTTGATATGCTGGCACTCTGGCATCTTTCAAGGTAGACATTGTGGTTTTTTCGGCACTCCAGCCAAAAAACGTTGCTTACCCCTGCTTCAGAGTTTGATAAAATACAGGTTACTACTTTATTGAACTAATGTTTAAGAATGAAAGGAAAGCAGAAAAGTGAAAATGCCCTCAGCCACAGGTCATCCCTTTGAACCCCCAAAGCATCACTACAAGCACTCTCTTTGCCACTCACTAAGGCATGACGGATAGCTACTTACTCCCACCTTCAGAGCCACAGCACTTCAAAAACTAAAAAATGACCATTCTACCTGCAATACCAAGGCACTTGTACATGTGGATACCTCTGACCTGTGACAATTGTTAACCGGTTCCCAATCACTGACTTTTGAAATGGCTCAGTTGTGTCCACACTTAATGACACCAGGCAGTAATCATGTCAGTTTCATTAAGCCAAATTTGTTCAGAATATTTTATTTAGAAACACCACATATTAGGGTTTCCAAAATGAAAAATGCATAAATATCTTGTTTCGTGGAAAATTTAAAAAAACACATCAAAGCTTTAATAGCAAATCTGAACAAAACCAATTTTCAAAATGTTTATATTTTCTGTGAAACAGAAATTCCAAAATTTGATCAGCTCCACACAACCTCTAATAACAAATGCTAAAGGACAGAGTTTCCAGAAATTTTTTACATCTTTCTCTGCTCAGAAAATGGATTTTTAACCACTGAGTTCTTACTATAAGGCACAGTGTGCTAATCTGAAAAGGAAAGTTGAAATATCAAGGAGATGACAAACATTTACACAGCTATTGATAATGACATTTTGATTAGAAATTGTTAGGAATGTTTTCAGGACATTTTTTAAACCAAAACTTTTCATGGTAATCTTACAGTTTTAATGAAAATATTGTCTGGTAGTTTTGCTGGGTCTGGGAGAGAGGGAAAAAGACCCAGGAGAGTGGTGAATAATTTGGTGGTCACAGATGGACCTGGAGGAAAGCTTTTTTGTTCCCATTCTTTTTTTACAGTGATTTTTTTTCATAAAAATACAGTAAGAAAAAAGGTAAAAGAAAATAACCTTAGATTATCCAAAGACGTAGAGATAAGAGCACTCACCTGAGATGTAGGGTGCAGAGGGAGTTGAAATTTTAAGGTACCTCACTCTCTTCTGCTGGAGAGCTCTTCCACAATGAATACTTAATTAAATATTCAAAGGCCAGAGAAGGAGACAGAGAAGCTTACTCTAGTTTAGAGGCTCTGACAAATGAAGGGACTTGAATCTGGATCGACAGTATACTAAACCGCTAAGCTATTAGCTATTTTTGGCTTTTTCATGGAGAGTGTTTTGGGTTTGCTTTTTGTTTGTTTTGCTCTTTTGTGAAAAAAAATTGAAAAGTTTTTGCTTTCATATCACCACAGAATGAAAACACTTTTCTAAACCTTTTAATTTTGGTGAAACAACAGAATTCTTGTTTTCTACTCAATAGATTGGGTGTGATATCATTGGGTTTTGTTCAATATGATGAAGGGTCTAGGTTGACTCATATGTCCCATTTCATGTGTAGTTTTTTTCCTACTCGGTACTTAAACCTTGAAGTTATGCCCTCCAGTGAGGATAGGAGCTCAGTCCAGCTAAAAATAGACTCAGTGACTGTTGGATCAACGAAGTATGTAAGCTTTCTCCATTTATCAGCCATAGAAGGCATTCATGATATTTAAGGTTAAGGAGGGAAATCTCACTCCTGTGCAGTAGCTTAACACTCGATTAGCCATTCTATGCTGTTCCCCTTTCCAGAGTAGATATGTGAGAAGAGGTTCTTTCAAGGTTGACTGGACATCCATCAGTCAGGAGAGAATTTTAAAGTAACCTTTGATGTAAGGTTTGTTATGCTCTTGTCTGACCATCCAATCCATTCTTGAAATCATCTAAGGAAAGTTTCTATGCCAATCAGTGACCCTCATAGATGCTCATACTACTATATGTAACAACTTTAAAAGCAGCATTTCAAGCAGTGTAATGGTTCTGGGAACTGTTAAACTGGTCAAACTCTTTATTTTGTAAAGTGTGTCAAAGGGCTTTTTATGTGAATATATCTTGATTTCTGTAAATGTATTTAATATTTCTGAGGGTTGTTAGTTGTAGCTGTGTTGGTCTAAGGACATAGGCAGACAAGGTTTTTTGGGCAGATGTGATATCCAAAAGTGCACACAGGGTGCAATCAGTGCACCTTAATAAACTCTGGTGTAGTTCATGCTGGAGTATATTGCTCTTGGGTGCACCATTTGCATGTATATATATATGTTATTTATTAATGTACAAATCAAAATTAAAGTCATGTTAACTGAAGATGCTTGAGTTTCATTTATCTGGTTTTCTCTGGGCTAGTCTCAGATGGTAGAATTATGCCAGTAGAAAATTTGGTACACTAAATTAGTCACTTTCATCAAATATTTAAGGAATACAAGGTTCAGAGAATACTTAACAGCTTTGATACCTCATGAGAAAAGAAAAATGAAAGGCTGGGGCAAATCATACAGAATGATCCTAATCCTGCTTACTTTCCTCATGAGAGCCACATTATTTGCCTCATTCAGTGATCACCTGACTTCAGCAGAATTACTCTAAAGACCATAGTGAGCAAAATTAGCTCCAAAAACCAAAATCAGCATATTCATTATAAACTAAAAAGGAAATAAAAACTGTCCAGGCTAACCAGAAGTTAAAACTGTTCCATTCCATACATCTTCTTAGATAAAAATAGCCATAAACAACAACTCACTTCACTGGCATTTTTCGTTCCACTGTCTGACTGTCACAGGTGATCC